CCCCAAAACCCCAAAACCCCAAAACCCCAAAACCCCAACTACTTCGGTCTGTATTGGCTATTTTATAATCAAAAATATGTCTAACAAGGACGAAGAAGAGTCACTTGAGCAACAAGAGTTCTTTCAAATGTAAGCCAATTCTAAAACCTTTCAGAGTCAAATTTTTGTATAAATTTATCTTTTCATTCTAATCACTGACATTTAGAGATGAGGAACCTGATGTCAGAAGTGGACAAATAGAAGAAGAAAAGAATTTAGAGGTAAGAGAAATTTCTTTAGCTGCACAAACAAATATCAGCCTTGCTTACATGATTGTAGATGACTCTTAGAGAGGAAATACCCAGGAATAGCCTCTCACAGGAGTCTTTTGCAATCGGGAGATTCTGCACTGTGCATGAATACATCAATATCTGTGGTGAAAGAATACTCCTGTATGATGCAGATGAGAATATGGAAGAGGTTATCGACACCTCTACTCCAAACCTGGAGAGAAATATTCAAAGTGCTTTTGACTCTTCTGAGCCTGAAATACCACCAGGTTCTGAAGAAATGAGACCTATCCAACTGATAAATTCAGATGATACAAATCAAACTGATGATGATGGCATGAAACTTAAGAAGAAGAACAAGGACGACGAAATGGCAGAAGTAGAAACATGTGCTAGTTCAGAAATCGACCCAAATGAATGTAAATTTCCTGATTTTACTCTTTAGGTCTTGCTAGTGACGAATTCATAGACTTTCCAGAAAATATGATTGAAGAAATCAATTCCCCAAAGGAGGAATCTAAGGTAGACTCACTTGAGGAAGAAAAGGAGGAAGTCTACAGAAGTAATAGAGGAATCGAAGAGGAAAAGATACAGCTTGAAACTCCAAAACAACCTTATGATTATTTCTTCACTTCTAACATTGAGGATCCATATTGTAGATTCAGATACGATCAAGATCCGAGCTATTTTAATGATACCAGCATGGAGTTTGAGACTCATAATCGTATGAAGTACCAACACTTGCACCCATGGGAAAGAGAAGAGAGCCTATGTGGTTGGAACTCTTTGATAAATTCCGCAAAATCCTGCTCATTATCCATCGAACGCTATGGACACTGAAATTCAAATCATGAAGAAGAGGAGCCTTCATTGATGATACCCAAAGATTTTGATCCAATAGGAGGGTTTAGTCACAATATCACGGATACAAATGAGAATGAGGGCCAATTTAGCCTATTCATGCAAGATGAGAATGAGCTTGACCACATCATTGGAAATGAGCACTTCGAGTCTCTGATAGTCGATAAATAAGAGCCTTGAACTAGACTGTACTCTAATCGGAACAGAGGCTGATATAATTGCAAAAGGTAAATTATTACAGTATTTTGTCAGAAATTCTAAACTTTTCTAGAACCTCCTCTTATCCCTAGTGACGAATTCAAAATCCCTGTGAAGACCACTTCGAAGCAAAATAGGGGTCAAAATGGCAGGAAGAAAATGTCAGAGCAACCTTATCTGATGAAGAGGAAGATTATCAGAAAGATGAAACAGTTCTATAAGAATAGATTTTTGAAGAGTATTTAAGCCTAAAAGACTCTCAAGAGAATTTAACGTTATGCCCAAGGAGAAATATTTCACCCTCTTAAGAAGCTATATGGCTGTAGAGTTTGAGAGCTTTGGTCACTCTCAAGAATTTATAGCCACACTTGAGGAACCTCTAGCCCTACTGTTGCTTTGTAATAATACAAAGAAGCAGTGGGCAAGTACTGAAGGGCTGGACTTCGGTCTGGTTAGAGAAGTCTTGTACAACTTCAAATTAAAGACACTAGAGAAGTATATGCAGATTGGCCAGTATGCATTTCTCTATAAGTACTACTTCGACACTGCCGCCAAGGAAGAAGCTAGCAGCCAGAAGGAAGTCCCCCAAAGCCTGTTTTATGCTGAAATGGTTAATATTTATACTATGGCAGATAAGACAGTGAAGAGTGAAGATAAGGAGGTATGCAGTCCTCTTACTTAATTACTTTCATTTCAACTAGTTCAACATCTATTTACTCTTCATGCAAACATCCTCATGTTTACTTTGGAGAATAAGGTTTCAGGCGCGGAAATTTATCTTTCGATCACCCAAAAACCTGCCAGGATTAGATCAATGGGGTTTTGGGGTTTTGGGGTTTTGGGGTTTTGGGG